AAAATCCTCTTCCCCCTAAATTATCATCTAATTTGCATCATTTATTGATCATTATGACCGTAAAAATTGTGTGAACCCCCTCCCTCCATCTCTGATTAGGTAATATGCAAACGTTCCCAGACCCAACTGCCAACGCATCGATAATCTTATCCAGATACAACCATTCTGAATGGAAAGAACATAGGATTGTACTCAGTTAATGCTTCAAATGTGAGAACCCTCTCAGCTTTTCGATATCAGGAATTTGAAATAATTCGCATTAGTCATAAGTGAAGAAACTAATTTGCGCTGGTAAGTCTTGGTTAATCACAAGTCTTGGGCGTTTTTGAAGATTTCGGAAAACCATTCAATAAATTGTACAATTACGAGGAACTGGTGGAAATTTGATACATCATTGATATAGTTTTTCTCAATTTAATGGTGAAGCTAAACCAAACTGTAAAATCTATGACGCCGAAACCATAACCACGGCAAACTTTTTATGCAACGTTCTTTCGAGAGGTCAATTGATGGTTGTAATCAATTTTAGTTCTGTGCTGCAAATATTGATAATTGCCTTTCGAAAGTTTTCAAGTTTTTTGACAAATATAACTCGAAGCAAGGGCGTACCGGGAAATTTTGCCGTGTCCTGGTGGACCGAGAAGCGATGGGTGGAGAAAAACTGTGGATTATTTTTCGCAGGTAGAAAGGCCAAAATTTGGTGTATCCTGCAAAGCAGTGAGAGATCGCTTCCAGAATAGTTTCACTAACAAAAAGTCCAAAAACAGAAGAGAAGAAAGTGCAAGTAGAATTAATCCTGAGCACACAGAAAAACATGTTCTTTTTGCAAGATAAGGGAGCTTTTTGATGCAGCAATTGCTGATCAGCAAGCAGCATCCCAGCAAGTTAAAGAAAAACAAACAGCAGAAATGGAAAAAGCTGAAGAAATGAGAAGGAAATCAGTAGGGGCAATGGGAGAAAGCAGGATAAAAAAAAGAAGGGGAGGTAAAAAAATGTAAGTGAAAATGAAACGTAACGTTCGGCAGAAAACCTTTCAAAATTATTCAAGAAAGAATCAAACTAAGTTGACAGTTGACTCAATCCGGGCTGACTCACAATTGCATTTGGAAACCAAGTTTAGACCCACTTTCCGTTTAGAATACAAATTGAACAGAGTTTACTCTGGGTGAACTCAACACCGCTTGAACCCGGGTAGCTTTTTGTAGTGTAAACCGGGCTTTCGATTGGAAATAATTTCACTTGTATTCATTATTAAGCGTCAGACGAAGAATTCAATTGAATTTTGTTCCATTTTTCCGAGCTATTTTGAACATTATTTCTTCCTTGTACTCATATTGTAGTTTTCTAAATGTATTATCAGTCATTCTATCAGTTCAATTTTGCGTAGACACAATATGCTCAATGCATTCTAAACAACAGGTTACACCATTCGATCTTTTCCTCTCTTGGGTACAGTTACATTTAAGCTGTAAGTCAGCGCTGTGAGCTGTTTTTCTCCGATCGCAGTAGCTGCCTAAAAAATTCAACATATCTTTGAAACACGTTCAGATTTGTAAGAGTTATTAGTTTCTATAGATTAAACACTGAAGCAATGAACATCGTAGAGAAATCAGTTTTGTTGATTCTCTTGATTACTTGAAATATGAATCAAAACTATCGACAAAAATTTCCATAGGAAGAAGCATAAATAAAGGATATTCCTGTTTTAATGTTCGCTACTTTTTAAAAATATAATTTCCGCAACTTTAGATCTGCAAAATTTTTGGATAAAAAAGAAACTATGCTCTTTTGCTTTGCCCTTTATTTCAAATGAATGTATTTTATTTCAAATGAATGTATGTTCGCTACTTTTTAAAAATATAATTTCCGCAACTTTAGATCTGCAAAATTTTTGGATAAAAAAGAAACTATGCTTTTTTGCTTTGCCCTTTATTTCAAATGAATGTATAGCGAAGGGCAGGGGGAGGGAATGTGAGAAGTGACATATAATAGAGGGATTCAGAGAGATGATGACACAGGGGGACATGGGGCCTAAAAAACTGACTCGGCCCGGGCTGACTCGGCCCGGGCTGACTCGGCCCGGGCTGACTCGGCCCGGGCTGACTCGGCCCGGGCTGACTCGGCCCGGGCTGACTCGGCCCGGGCTGACTCGGCCCGGCCTGACTCGGCCCGGGCTGACTGGGCCCGGGCTGACTGGGCCCGGGCTGACTGGGCCCGGGCTGA